CACAAAATCGACGCAGTAACTACAGGTTGAAGTTCGGTTTTGGACGAATATGAGCGATTTAGAATTGTGCGGACTAGAAGGGACCAACACAACTTGCAACTTGTGCTGGTTTTCAACCTTGATTTATCTCATGCTTCCCACGGCTATAGCAGCTATATGATGACTGGCATGGCATGGTGTTCTCCCATGTGCGTTGTCGGCGCCTAAAAACGGCTCATCAGTCAGAAATGTGTTCCCGCAAATCCTGAGGGGAAAACACATCTTTGGCACACTGAGAGTATTGCGTCCATGTGCAACGCACCAAGTTTCAAGCTTTGACGAAGCTTGATTTGAGATTTGACCATGTACGTGACCCAACTAGTAAAGATCAAAGGAACAAGTGTGAACCTTTGTCTGAATTTCACATTTCTCAGAGGGGGTCTCACCAAGAAAGGGGAAAACGTGTACGGAAGAGGTGCAAGTCTACCCAGTTACTTCACTGCATTTTTTCGCTCGAAAACTTCGGGCTGCGTGCACCTCAGCGCAGAAGGTTTAGGGGGTGGTTGCCTAAAGCTCAGTTGAACTCAGTTGCCCAAACAGCTTACCAAATCTGCCATGAATCAAATTGTTTACCAAAAGGGAAAGACCAAAGATCGAAAGGGCGGGTTTTGGGCCACTGAGTCATAGTTGGCTTGGATTCGGATTGGTGGCTTGGAGGGGCCCAGGGGTTCAAGACCTGGAAACACACCAAGCATTTTCTATGATTTGGAATGCCCAAAGATGCCAGAACTCTCAGGGTTGATTCCTTGTCCATTCTTTCCAACTATTGTTTTTCAAAAGCCGGATCTGTTTCCCAACTGTGTTTTTCATGGTTTCCTGAAAATATTTTTCGGATCCCTGGGTTCAGAACGGAACTGCAAGCTACCCCTAGAAAGAACAGGCGCCCTCACGCGCCTGTCACCGCATTGACCTTCTGCACGTAACGGTCGTGTGCCACACGCCCGGCCACTGCCTCAGCTTTGAACTCCGTCTTTCACTGACATGGACACTGTGCGCTCACCAAATCTTGGAGGTGCCTGGGCCCAGTCACTTCTGTCAGTTGCAACCTTTTAGTGGCAGCGAGCCAAAATGAAACCAGACAGTGGTAAAGTCTTTACAAAACAAAGCCAAAGGGACCCCATTGCTCCATTTTTTGGGTTCCCTCACTTGAGCCAGGGCCAAAGCCTGCTATCACAGGCGTCCACCGCATGTATATGCAAATACTTGAAAGGACAGATATCTGCACTGCACCTGTTCTTGGTTGACGTTGGAAGGGGAGCAAAATTCAAATTTTAGCAGTGAAGTCAGTGAAGTGGTTGGATTTGCACTTAAAACCACAATAGGCAAACATGTAAAATGTTTCCCAACAACTTGGTTGCTGTTGACCCCCCTGCAAAAAGTTGTTCACTTTTTGGGTCCCGGTTTAGTGGGAAACACCGTTAAATTTCAACCAACAAGTTAAAGTCTAAAGATCCGCTACCCAGCAGTCAAGACAACCATGTGTTTATGCTTGGGCTTGTCTCGCCACAGCTGCACTCCTAGGTCCTTCAGTAGAGAGGGTATAAATAAGTTGGTGCCAACTTTTTTCGGTGAGAAAGGGCACTGCTGGGACCTTCACTCGTGTTCACCGCCCATTTGGGACAGCCCAGGGCTGCTGCAGTGACCGTGGCCGTTCCACCCGCTAGCGCCAGCGTGCCCACCACCGGCAAGCCGACCCTCAGTTGTTCAATGTTTTTTTTGGGGAAGACCATTTTGATCCATTTTGAGTGGCGCAGCCACCCCCCCGCCCAAAAAAAAAACACAAGGAACAAGGGTGCCATTTTCAGCGGGGCCACCCCCCAAAAAAAAAACAAGGAAAAAGGGTGCCATTTTGAGCGGGGCAGCCACCAAAAAAAAACAAGGAAAAAGGGTGCCATTTTGAGTGGGGCCACCCCCGCAAAACAAAAAACACAAAAACACAAGGACAAATAATTGGTGCCATTTTGAGTGGGGCCACCCCAAAAAAAGGGGACAAAGAACTGGCGCCACTGAACTGAGGACCCTAACGCGGGCCGATGGGCTTGGGAACTGTTCGGGTGAGGCCTTTTACCACTTTTTGTTGGTCATACGGGCATAAATGTCCAAACCCACCCCAATTTTCGTTTGCATACGGCCAAAATGCTGCAACTACGGGATTTGACCAACCGAAAAGTTGTAAAACATTGTAAAACGCCTCAGCAGGTACTGAATGAAAGGGCACCCCTGGACAGAACAAAGGAATCGCCAAGAGCCCCTAAGCGGTTCAAGCATCGAGCGACTTTCAGAAGCACGTGGACAAAAAACATGGACCCCCGGTAAAAGCCAGGGGCGATGGGAAAGAAAGGACGCGCTCTTTCTCGGTTTCAAAGGGAAGCCCAGAATCCCAACCAATTGATCCATGGGTTGACCAAACTGGAACTGATCAAGTCGATACAACCAACTTTCTAGTGCTACCTTCCATGTCCATTCTTTCCAAGGATCCTTCTTTCTAGAAAACCTCCAAAACCCGCGGGAAAACGGATCCGGTTTTTGGAAAGAACGATGGTTGAAAAGAATCGAAAAGGAATCAAGCCCTAGAAACTAATCCTTCACCAAGTGTTCATCTAACCACGATTGGGAAAACCAGGTCCTCGTTGCTGCGGCGCACTTTGTCTTTGCCCCTCTCGGCCTTCACGCCAAGCCCTCTTCTTTGCTAGGTCCTCCAGTAGAGAGGAGAGAATACGGGTACCAGCTTGCTTTCTGTAAGCAAGCAAGCAAGCAAGCAAGCAAGCAAGCAAGCAAGCAAGCAAGCAAGCAAGCAAGCAAGCAAGCAAGCAAGCAAGCAAGCAAGCAAGCAAGCAAGCAAGCAAGCAAGCAAGCAAGCAAGCAAGCAAGCAAGCAAGCAAGCAAGCAACTACATCAATACATATGTCAACATGAAATGAAACGAACCACATAAAAAGAAGCGGACTAAATAAATAGAATAAACACAAACCAAATGCCAATAAGCAAGCACATAAACAAATGAATGCAACCATTCACACACACACAGATATGTGTATATATATATATACATAGAAACCACACAATAACAGAAATGAACAAACAACAAAGTAAACAAACAAAAATAGCACATATGTAAACCTAGAATAATGACTAGCTAACAAAATAAATCAACAAAATAAATCAATAAAATAAATCAATAAATACATAAGCACATGAATAATTAAATCAACGAGCCATAAAGCACACGTATCACCTAAATAAACAACACATATGTAAAACAAATGGATGTTTCAACAAACGAGCAAATAGATGTATGAACAAGCATAATGCACACACATACATAACCAACATTAAACAAACATAATAAATGCACAAAGCAAGTAACTACATGCGTGCACAAATAAATAAATAAGCAAATACATAAACAATACATACATAAACGCACATGCATAAGTGAACAAATCAAATAATTACATAAGCACAATTAAACAAATATAATCAAACAACATACAACGTAGAACAAACAAACACACACACACAAACAACGGAAACATGAATGAATGAATAAATGAATGAATGAATGAATGAATGAATGAATGAATGAAGAAATGAATGCATGAACAAATTAATGAATGAATGAATGGATGGAATGAATGAATGAATGGATCGATGGATGGAATGGAATGGAATGGAATGGAATGGAATGGAATGGATTGGAATGGGATGGGATGGGATGGGATGGGATGGGATGGGATGCGATGCGATGCGATGCGATGGGATGGGAATGAATGAATGAATGAATGAATGAATGAATGAATGAATGAATGAATGAATGAATGAATGAATGAATGAATGAATGAATGACTGAATGAATGAATGAATGAATGAATGAATGAATGAAAACATGAATTGATGGATGGATGGAACGGAACGGAGCGGAACGGAACGGAACGGAACGGAGCAGAGCGGAACGGAACGGAGCGGAGCGGAACGGATGAATGAATGAATGAAATGAAATGGAATGGAATGGAATGAATGAATGCATGCATGCATGAATGAATGAAAAGAAATGACATGAAATGTAATGGCATGACATGACATGACATAACATGCAATGAAATGAATGACATGAATGAATGGAATGAACTGATATGACATGAAATGAAATGACATGAAGTGACATGAAATGAAATGAAATGAACAAATGCATGAAATGAATGAATGAAGGAAGGAATGAATGAATCAATCAATGAATGAATGAATGAATGAATGAATGGAATGGAATGGAATGGAATGGAATGGAATGGGATGGGATGGAATGGAATGGAATGGAATGGAATGGAATGGAATGGAATGAACATGAAATGAAATGAAATGAAATGAACTGAACTGAAATGAAATGAATATATGAATGGAATGGAATGGAATGGAATGGAATGGAATGGAATGGAATAAAATGACATGACATGAAATGACATGACATGAAATGAATGAATGAGCCCACGGACAAACACAAATGAATGTCAATGCCCCCCCCCCTCCCGCCCACAAATGGTCACAGTCAGGGACTGTTCCACCCCACGCCTTTTGTACTGTGGCTAGGTTGTGGTTTTGAGTGGGTTTAGGGTTGGCTTGGGGTGGGTTTCGGGCTTTTTGGGGGAAGAATTAGGATAGCTATGCGAGGATTTCGGGTTGCTCTCCTGCGTTCCAGCCTTTTGAGGGCAGGTCTCTGGGATGGTGGGGGTGGTTTCAACCCGAAACACGAGGCCACCTGTAGAGGTTTGCAAGCAAACAAACTATGAAGCACATAAACAAGGTCGGTACACCCCCTGCTCTTTCATATTCCCTCACTTTGACCACCCTAAGGAGCAGTTACAAAAGCCCTTCTTTTGGTTGGGGATGATTGGTTGCATGGTTGGAGGTCTGCAATGCCTCATTTCCCTGCAAAACGGGGAAATCGCCCAACGTGAGGCCCCCACACGCAGCCGACGGCTGCCTGGGCACATCAAGTGACCTCTTCATTTTGCGAGGGGGCTGCACCAAAGCAACACATGGCCACGAAGGACCATTCTGGGAGGAAACCAAAGAAGGGACTTCAAGGGTGGAATCCACTGAACCGGGTCTTGGCAAGGTGCCAGGGTTTAGGGAAGGCTCTAGCCCAGGCGAGCTGTTGGGGAGATCTAGGCCGGTAAAAATGGCATCCCGCCCGCTACGAAATCCCCGGCCAAAAACACGAAGCAAAACTGCAAGAAGGCAACAAGGAAAATTATGTTCTATCGGCTTTGTGCTTGGATTGTTTGTAACCCCCTCCCCCTGTTAACTTGCTTCCGAACTGCCGACCCCTCATCCTCCAACACAACCTCATGCTTCAGCAAACGCACAAAGGCAAGAAAAGGTACTTGGTGGTTTGGGTCCGAAGTCCCAATGTCTTTGGCTTAAACTGGGGGCTACCCCAAAAAGACACGGTGGGTTCTCACCGGGTTTCCTAAAAAAGGCCAAACGTGAGCATGGGGGAGCGATTTAAAACAGCTTATTGGTTTGTATATGTATATATACATGTTCATTTTATTTGTTTTGGGCCCCTTCAAATACAGCCAACACTTCTTCCTTCTGAAATGCCTGCTGTGGACAAACCACCATCAACGTGTTCAAGACCACTGAGACCTTAATCATTACCGTGTACATAGTTGATCCCATGTGCTATGTACTTGTTGGCGGGTATGATTGTCAGGAAAGCGTAGTTCTCTCCTTTTGGTGTTTACTCGGTGAAATAAGCCATTGAACAAAAGGTTATCAGGCTCTTACACTTGCAATGGAGAAGGAACACCATGCTAACCAGCATTGGATTAGTTTCAATTAAAGAGCATACTGACAAACAACCGGGTCTGTTTCAAGTGAAATTAATGAATCACGAAAAAAGAAGAAGAACAACAAAATGATGTGCGCGACGGGAAAGACCTGAAATGTCCCAGCTTATGGTTAAAAGCAGGGTTAAAGGTTAATCACATGGCTGTGGGTCAAAAACAGGTACCCAAAATGGAACCCTGGCAAATTGAACCAAAGACTGCAACCTGCGGTCCGATTCCTGGTGGATTAATTTGGACCCACACCCACATGCCGGAGGAGAAAAGGAATAGACAACATCGGCTTCTCTCTTAGCGGGGGTTTGGTGGTTCAGGGGTGGTTTCCTATTTTTTGGACAAACGAACAAGCTGGGATGCGGAGGGAGCCGGGATATGGGGGGATTCCCTTGGCGCCATTTCCCACATCAAACTTAGTCAAGGTGTGGGGGGAATCCTCCCGTATCCAACTGGTTCCCCCTGTATCCCTAGTTGGTTTTTTTTTGAAATTTGCAGATCACAAGAACAGGGCTCCCACCAATTCCAAGCACCAACTGACGGTTACCTGAATGAACAACACAAATCTTGGTTGCTGTTGACCCCCCTGCAAAAAGTGTCTCACTTTTTGGGTCCCGGTTTAGTGGAACACCCAACTTGACTTCCCAAACAAAAGTCTAAAGATCCGCTACCCAGCAGAAACAAGACATGAACGCATGGGTGTGGGTCAAAATTAAGCCACCAGGAATCGGACCGCAGGTTTCAGTCTTTGGTTCCATTTGTCAGGGCAACCCATTTTGGGCACCTATTCTTGACCCACAGCCACATAGCTTCCAAAACTCCACTGAGGTCAGCACCCCGCAGGCTCCTACGGCAATTGTCACCTTTGCGACCTGAGTGAGGCGAAGGAAAACACCGCCCAATACGTCCAGAAATTAGATGGAAATACGTGGGTATGTCTGCTTTTGGTAGGTACCCTCCGGGCAAACATTTGTGCACAGACCCCTGAAAGACTGGGATCTTGGAGAGAAACCTTTTTGCAGGTCCATGTTAGTGGGAGGGTACCCGTGTTTTCTGGAAGCCAACAGGAAAAGACAGACTCAAATAGGAAGGCGCACCTTTTATAGCAAAATGGGGCTCAAGGGGAACCGAAGCAACAAAATGGGGTGTTGACATTGGGCTACTGAATGTCACGAACACGGAAGTAACAATTATCTATCTCGTACGGTTCTCCCACAGAAGCTGAACCACTTGGCCTACGGTGACTTCACCAATGTTTCTGCTTGCTTGAAAGTCACCTCAAACTTCGCTGGGGACTGAGGCAAAACACTCACTTCCATTTGCTTCAGCCCCCTGGAAAAAAACATTAAAACATATTTCCAGTAGTGAAATCGATTCCCTTTTGAACATACTCTTAAGCCAACAAGGGAAACAATTTTCAGTAGTTCCAGTAGTTCCATTTTAAGCCAACAAGGGAACATATTACATATTCTTAAGCAAATAGAAGGTCAGAGTCCTGGAAGCTGTCCTCTTTGCACCAGGAATGTGCCGCATTCCAGCAGCAGCAAGCACACGGGTATGCGAACCGGAGTTTTCTCTCCCCCCGAACTTGGTGCTTGCTTCTCTTTGATTTGTCCTAGCGGTCACAAACCACCCGCAAAAGAGCAACTAATTAGCCAAAACAAAACCATACCCATCTCAACATGGTGGCTGTGTTCGTTTGATTTCCTAAACCAATTTCCCCAAAACCGAAAACCGCACCCCCTGAGCTCGCAGCTCTGGATCGAGACTTGCCTGAGAGGTGTGTCAGTTTTGACTGTCTGACGTCTCCTTTTGGGGATGGACGCAGCTCGCATTGGAGTCCCACAAACGGGATCCCCCAAAGTGGCACTTGGATGCAAACGTTTAACACCTGCGTAACCCTAGCTCTTAATTCTTGAGCCAGTTCCCAAAAAGCATGGATCATTTTTAGAACCCAACCCATTCCTGGTGGGAAAATGTCAAGGATGAAACTTTGAGTAGCATCGAGCCGAACAAAAACCGCTTGGCAAATAATTACGCTTCGACTGAATGACGCTTTCAGTACCATGAGATCTCACCAGATTCAACGATAGATGGTCTCAATCAATTTGGCTGCGGGTCAAAACCAATGGTACCATTGTGGGGTAGGTAAATTCATCAACCGATTTAGAATCTATTTTAGTGGTTGGATTGGTTGATGTTCACTGGGGGTACCAATGGCCATTTCCTGCGCTTCAAATGGGTAAGGCTTTAACTTCGTTGCTGCAACGACCCCCCTGCAAAAACGTTCTTCACTTTTTGGGTCCCGGTTCAGTGGAAAACACCGATAAATTTCAACCAAAAGTGTTAAAGTCTAAAGATCCACTACCCAGCAGTCAAGTTAAGGCTGGGGGAGTCCCAAGCGAATTCAACCTCAAGCCGGCCAGGTCGGGCCTTCGGCCCGAGCACTTGAGGCTTGCTTTGATCGCCGTGGGACAGCAATGGAGCAGGGATCCTTACATCAAAAAACCCGAACATTGCACAACTTGCAAATGGTGGTGTCCAACTTTATGTTGGTGGAAGCCATGTTTCAAACGGTTGCAAAAGGTATCTTTTAAGGAGCCCTGAGGAGTCTTGGATGCTTCTCAATGCTGAGTGGGATGCAACTCTTTTCAGCAAACGACTCCTTGTCAGCAACTGAGATACAAACAGGTGTGTCCTTCTTGTTAGGGGACCCCCCCGCCAAAAAAAAACAAAAGAGATGGTGTTCTCTTTAATTTTTCGGAAGTCAAAAAAGGGTACTCTCAAAACAACACAGCCAAAACATGTCTACCACCATCACTTTGGAATGTGGCAAAGATGTGAGTCCACAGCACAATGGCCCCGAACAGTCGGCTTCCTCCCAGACCCCACTCCCAAAAAGGAGCACACACACACACACACACATAGACACCCACGTTGCCCCCCAACCACCAGCAGTGGATCCTGTTGTGTTTTGCCTGACTGAAACTGGTCCAAAGCAAAAAAGGGGCGTTTCACGAGGTTAGGAGGTTAGGGCGTGCGATCCAACACGCTCAGTCAATGGTAGGAAGTGTTGACCAAAACGTGAATGAGACTCCGAATCCATCCTACGTGTAGAGGACGAAGGTAAGGGTCCACAATTTCTAGGTCCTCCAGAAGAGAGGTTAGAATAAGGGTACAACTTTTTTCTGTCTATTTTAGCAGGGGAACCCTCCCAACCAAAAAAGGGGTGAGAGAGGGCACCTAGCTGGGGGACCTAGATTTGGCGCTATAAATGGAGAACTCCAGTGGCCACGCTCATGACATCAGCATGCCACTGGGGCAGCCCGCCCACCCACCCCTCTCGTCCAAGCCCACATTCCGGCCTATGGCAACCTCGGACAAGCTGTCCACCACTCCCCTGGTTTCCTGTGAAAGTCCAACGGGAAAGCCGCAAAGGGGTTGCAACCAAAAGACTCAATGACCCTCACATCACCTGGACTGCCCGTTTTCGGATCTCTCTCTATCAAACACACCCTCATACGCACAAACCCACTCTCACACACCACAAACATACAAACACAAACACCCACTCTCTCTCTCACACACACACACTCAAACACACAACACTCAAGCACGAGGTTTCCCCCCGAAAAAAAGGGTCACCGTTTCCATCTAAATCCCTTACTTAAAAACAATGAGTTGAATGGTTTTTGGTGCCCGGAAAGGGGGGAACACATTCCCACTGATAACCAATACTAAAACCAAGCTACTCCCAAATGCTGCCCTAAAGTTCCGAAAACTGAACAGGGGACCCCTAATTATACAAACCTCGGGGGGGTTTTATATTAGGGGGGGGGGGACGTTTTATGTTAGGGGGAAGCGACTAGTGGGTTAAATGGAAATTGCCACTAAACACCAAAAAGCTAAAAGTCTAAGGGGATGGCTGGGAGCCACCAAGTCACTAGCAAGAAGCCTGACTTTGGGGGCTGGAGGAGCACAACTTTCATCTCATGAGCTGTCGTGGGGGTCTCGAGAGATTTTCGAGAAACCACCCGACCTGGCAAAAGGAGCGCTGATCCCCAGAAGGGAACAGGGCTCCTTTCCCCGGGAAGCATCACCCCGCAAGCGCCCATGAAAAAAGGAGTTAGCCGAACTCTGGAGGTGGCTGTTTGCATCGCTACTGCCCTGCTCCATCGCCCTTCAAAAGAAACATCCTGGCACAACAAAGGTTTAGCCACCACCTTCACCTCACTCCAGCTCGATCTAGCCAGGGATTGGAAATTGAAATGCGACATGTGTTGCTGCACTTATCCGGTCTCTGATGCAAGCATGCCACAATGCGTTTAAGTGCTGATCATGAGTGTTTTGTTTAGATTTTCGTGACTCTTTGATACAAAGCTGCAACACTGCAACGGGATTGCAAACCTCAGGCACTGTGTGTGTTCTCCCTCAAGATTCGGGGCTCCTAAACAAAGCACATGTTTTTTCTCCTTTTCCTTGACCCGCAGTTCGTCGGAGGACAATAAAACGGTCGAGTCACCAAAGCGTCACTTCCAGTTTTGGGAAAGTGGCCGCCGGAAAAGCGAAGGCACCGTTCGCTCAGGGGCTGCGCGCAAAGCCCTACCCGAACATGGGCCCAAGCAGCGTCCCCAACCGCATCAGTCAATCTATGCCTGTATCACCATGCAGCACACTGGCCAACCGCTGCCACGGTTTGTGCAGTCCGATCCAAAGCACGCAAACGTGAAACATATTTTGGAGCTGTCTGCTGCAAGGCTCCAGCTCTTCACATTTCTTAGGATGGTTTCAAAGTGCGGATTCGGAGGATTTCAACCACTTCCTTCGCAAGTCTCACTGAAACATCTTTGCTGTTGCAAGATGTTCGTGACAACCTGTCGAAACTACCCTCCACCAACTAGCATGGAAGTGCGCAAAGCCCCTTTCCGAAAGCAGTCTTTCTACAGGGGTCTGTGCACTTCCATGTCAGTCGGTGAGAGGGTAAATTGGCAAGCAACCTCTCCGACCCCCGGCATGTCAGAACAAACGCGCTAGCCCTCGCTAAAGACGTGCCAAGCTGAAGACTCAGAAATAAAACCAGACAGTAAACACTGGAACGTGAACCGGAATCCTTACATTATCCACCTGAACATTGCCTTGTAAATGGCGGTGTCCCTTCATTTTGGTGGAAAAAGCCACATGTTTCAAATGGTTGCAAAATGGAGATCTTTCAAGGAGCCCTCGTGAAGTTGAACCCTTCCGGCGCACAAAGAAAGTTGGGCTCAGTCCTCCACAGTCTGCCCCACTTGCTCCTCCACTGCCTCAGTCCACAAAATTATATAGTCCACAGGACAGACTTTTCTACTTCTCACTTTGGGAGTGGATGGCCCAAAACAAGCCTACACTTTTTATATGACACTAACATGGCCGTCCCAAATTGTCTAAAGTCCATGAACTCACGAAATGAGTTTACTTCCCCTGAAAAATCATCGCCCATGCAGCAAATCGCGCGGGGCGATGTTTGCGTTTTGAACTCCCACCGGAGCCATCCCAGGACGACGGAGGGATGGCCTTGCCAGAAGCCACCCATCCACCCACCCACCCATCCATCCATCCAATGCAATCCATCCATCCATCCAATGCAGTCCAATCCAATCCAATGCAGTCCAATCCAATCCATCCAATCCAATCCATCCACTCCATGTTCTCGACCACGGGAAGGCACCAAAAGTCACAGTTGCGACATCACTCTGCAAGTCGCTTGGGCGCAAGTTCTCCGTAACTCTTGGCGTGACCCATGAACCGTATGCCGAGAATGGCAATGTTGCGAGTAGAATGTTTGAGGGTAGGTTGAATAGGATAGCAAACAGTTTAACTTTGTTCAATCACATGGCAAACAGCTTTGCATATCGCACGGCTCATAGCTGAAAGCCTTTCGGCAACGATACAGCCCGCAGCATGGCGGATGGTATTGCTGATAGTATGCCAGATGGTACTGCGATGGGATCACGTGTCAAATGGTATCTCTCTCTTTCTCTCCCGCTCTCTGGGGCATCCTCTCTGGGGCATCCTCGAGCAGGTATGGCTCACAGCATTTGTGAGTTGTACGGCTGGCATGGCTGATCGTATCACACATTGTGTATCCAATAGTATGGCAGACGGTATCAAACATACTGATGGCTAATGGTATGGCAAGCACTCCTGGCGAGTTTGCCCCCCTCAGTTGTTCAGTGACCCTGGAAAAAAGGGAACCCTTTTTGGGGAAGAGCATTTTTAGTGGGGCAGCCATCCAAAAAAAGGAAAAAGGGTGCCACTGAACAACTGAGGATACCTAGGCACCAGGCATCGAAGGTAGTACCCTGCTGCTGGATCAGGGATGCCACCTGGTGAAGGGCCCCAGGAGTAAAACGGAGTTCGTGAATGGATGCGGACCCGCCTCCCTATACAAGTTGCGGGTGCGGGAAAAAAGGCGAGCCCTTTGGACAGAAGGCAAGAAGTGCAGCACGAGCAAACCAAAGGGTGTTGGGGGTGAGGCAAGTTGAGTTCTAGCCTTGCAAACCGAAAACATATCGAGCACCTCAAACATGGGCAACTGAATGTAGATAGTTCTCTCCGGGCGCCGGCCGGCTCTTCATTTCAGAAGCCCGTGGCAGAAGCCATTTGGCTTCAGAAGCCTAGGGAACCTTTTTTTGGGACTGACCATTTTCTGAGAGGGAAGCCATCAAACCGGTGAACAACTGGGCTCACTTTCCGGTTGGTGGGCCCGGTGTGTTGTTTACCAGGCTGGCTTTCCAAGTTGTTTCGCCTCCAGAAGCTCGGGGAGCGAGTGCCTAGACACCAGTCACGGGCAAACGATGCTCTTTCCCCGCCCAATTTCCTGTGGCCATGTATTTAATTTACTCTTCGGTCATTTCCTGATGTGGCAAACCCCTTCAAGCAAAATGACCACAACTGAGTGCCCGGGTGTTCCAACCATGAATCCTCATGACTTATGACTCATGACCATCCAGTCGAAAAGAACAGGGGGGTGTTTAGAGCTGGGCTGAAGACACTCTCTGCACTAGGCTTGATGGGCAATACTTGAGCATGACGCCAGTCGTAGAAGTTGTGGAGGGGGGGCTATGTTCAATCGCTGCCAGGTCTGACCATAGGGTTTTCCAGTGTACGGTCATGTGAATGATCCGTCTTGGTGGCTTGGAGCTGCGTGGTTTGGTGATGGGCAGTTTCCCGTTTACCCTCTGCAAGAGCCAGGGACCCGTGCAAATCCCAATCCAAGCTACCCACCCAAACCACCAGTTGAGGGATACCCGAGGAAAAATGCCATGCAAAGGGACCCAAGTTGGGCTCGTTCATTCAGGACCACAAGCAACCAGCGAGCTGGTTCTCCGAGAAAAAAAAGAGAAAAGCAACATCTGGCAACTTCAGTAGCGAACCCCGCTGCAACCAATACATTCACCACTGGTGAGCTGCAGCATGCTCCCCTTTAACCTGCAGCTGCGAAACTCAGCCGAGTCAGAACCTAAAAAAAGCAAAAAGAGGGCAGCCGCACACCTGCCATTTGCCTAAGCCTCCTGGAAAAAACATTAAACAAACTACTTCCAGTAGTGATAGATTCCCATTAAAACCAACAGGGGAAAATAACAAATATTCTTAAGCAAATGGAAGACACATGTCTGGCCCTCTAGCCTTCATCTACCCTGGATGCTAGTATGGCGCGGCTCCTGCCCTGAAAAGGCTGTTGGCACAATTACAACTACTCCAGGCTGCAAATCAGCCACCGAACATGACAATACCATAGTTGCCACTTGACAACAGCGTATGATACTTGGGGCGGCTAAGCCATATATGTTGCAAGTAAGTATCACATTTCAGTTCGATATAAATCTAGGGGTTGACTCCCTATTCTTTGCAACCATCGTTCTTTTAAAACACCTGCCTCTTCTTGTGGGCTTTTCTGGAAAGAAGGATCCCTGGGTTCAGAATGGAAATAGAAGGTACCCCTAGAATCTAGAAGAAAGATGTTCATCCTGCTTACACCCTACGCAAAATACCCGTTTGTTTCCAGCTATTGTTGAAAAAAAAACGGCTTTCCATGGAACATATATCCTTCTTAAATAGAGGGTCGACATGATACCCTGAAAAAAGAGGGTATTTGGAGTAGGGGGTAGCTTGAGGGAACGGGGTTTGCCCAACCCAACCGAGCAATATGCCACGCGCCTGGTCGGTGGCCTCTGAGAGAGTCCGGGCATCCGCCGAGAGCCGCTGAAGCGCATTCACCTTGATTTAATACTGGGCTGCCCCCCCGCTAAAAGTGACTAACTTTTGGTGGGTTGAATGGAAATTACCACAAAACACTAAAAGGCTAAAAAGCCTCTGGAAAAACGAAAACATATCTCCAGTAGCGATAGGTTCCCTTTCAAAGCAACAGGGGAAAATAACAACATATTATTAGGCAAATGGAAGTTACAGGGAGATCCCGAATGATCAGCTGGTAAAAGTCGGGCTTAAGTAGATATATCCTGTACTGGATCTTGGAAAGCCAGAAGTTTGTTTGTTCATTTCCGACGAAACAGCTCTTCCAACAAGGTACCGCGATCCAGACCTCACAAGGTCATACCGCTTCGGTTTGAGAAAATCTCCCCCGCTCCCTCATGTTTTATCTTCTTGGGCGTCCTTCGGGCTGCTGCACATGTTCTTTGTCTGTGCTGTGGGGTTTGCAGAAAGGGGGATGACGCTTTTAAGGGTGGGTTTACACCTTTGCTTTGCTAGGAAACAGCTTGACAGGGGGTTCCCCGTTCAGAACCGAGCTGGGCTTTGTGCGAAACGTTCCGCTGCTCCAGGGAGGCAAGAGCCTCTACTTGGGCAGGGGGTCCTTTTTGTTTTTTGGTAGCAGACCCTGCAAAAAGCCCAGTCGAGTATCTGCCAGTGGTTGCAACGAGGGACTTAACGGGGTTTGATGATTGCAAGTTGGCCACAGAATGACAAAGGACCCCCCCAAATGCTGGTTTTCCTTTTGGCTGTCCCCAAAACCCAGCAAAAGAAGGGTCCAAGGGGGGGCCCAAACGCGGCTGCTGCACCCACAGGAGTTCCTTGAACTCCCTGTTTCGATGACTTCCACCCTAGACCCACAGAGGGTGGAAGTAACCCTGGCCGGTTCACTGCACTCTGTACTTACTGGCCAAAAAAACCGGCAAATTTCAAGAACGGTGCAAGCCCCTCATTTGGTTGCAACCAAGAGCCATTTTTGCTCAATGCAGTTTCCAGCTGCAGGCCTTCAAACCAGCCGCGCTTTGGAAGTCCCGGGAACCGGTTGCTACTAAGAAAGGATGGGTTCCCTGCCCCCAGTCACACGTCCACAGGCGTTTCTCACCTCTCGACTCCTGACAGCCTTAGAGGCATGTCAAAAGCCACCAAGGCAAGCTCACACCTCTTCGGCGAATGGAAGGCCACTTCGGTGAAACTTAACAAAAACTGAAGCAACCTCAGTAGATTGGTGGGCAACTGTCACTTGCAATGTGCTGCCGAAAGCAAGCCCCTGAGCCCTTGTGGGGCTTCGAAATTCAACGCTACTTGGCCAGACTTCCACCCCCAGCAAAGACTCCCACCAACTAACATGCATCAAGCCCCTTTCTAAGAGGAAAGTAGTCTTTCTGCAGGGGTCTGTGCATTTCCATGTTAGTCGGTGGGAGGGTAAGGAAAAACCGATTCGGACACTCAGGGTAAGGAAAAACTGATTCGGACACCCGGGGTAAGGAAAAACCGATTCGCACACCCAGGGTAGGGAAAAACTGATTCGGAAGCCCATGGCAAAAAGGCTGGCACTGGGGGTTGCCCTGCCATCGTGGGCTCGAAAATTCGGGGCTCCGCGCATCCATCCGAACCACCTGTGTGGGTTGGAAGGAGTCCTCGGAATCTTTGGCGCACAAAACGGTCGGAGGTGAGTTGGGGTCATCCGGAGATTCACACCCATGTTGGAGGGAATTTGAATCGCAGGATAGCATTGTTGATGGTGTTTTACGCCAAAGTTGGAGGGAATTTGGCGAACTGTGTCGGTTAGGTGATTTTGCCGGCTAACCAGAAGCTGATTTTCACCAAGGTGTCCTGTGTCGGTTGGAGGGAATTTGGTTTATCTCACTGCACTTCTGAGAAAGAGTATTCTTTTGCTTTCTTTGGCTGGGTGATTTGGAATCCCAGTTGGAATGGTCGGAGTCTCCCTTTGGACAGGCATACATGTTGGCACTTAAGGCCCAGGAATGTCCTCAATTTTAGATGGATAAAGTACCTCATAAGCTTTCATGTTTTCTGCAATTGATAAAAAGCCTTATCAAGTGCTGGCAAAAAACACATCCGAAAGGGGAGGGGCATGTCTGGCCGTGTTTCATCTATTTCACCCCTAAAAAAGAAGCGCACCGGCTGCTAAAGGGGGGGGACTGCAGAAATGAGACAGTGGCCCATCCCCTGATCCCGCTTGGAGGCAGGGCATTGGCCAACTTGCTATCCCACACCGAGGGTACCAAAGCCCCTCCGAATACCCTCTTTTCTCAGGGTATCATGTCGACCCACTAGAAAAGGAGGTATTTACCATTGAAAACCGCTGGTTTTCCAAAAAAAAAAAAACCGGGAAAATGCGATTATTATTTTTGGGTAGGGGGAGCTCTTAAGGTTCGTCCCGCTCACGTAGGGCCCACGCCTGCCACTCCTGCAGCGGGGCGTGAATATCAACCTACGCCGACGGATGGGCGGGCGAAAGGAACGGAACCCTGCGCATACCACACAAAACCCTAATCTCTAACTCTAGGTTTTTTTTTCAGCATCATTATTTTCCAAAAAAACAACAGCTGTGTTGCTTGGGTTTCCGGAGGTTTTCTAGAGAGACGGATCCCTGGTAGTACACATCTCCAATGCGTCTAGCCTGGCTTGATTGTAACACCAAATGATCCAACATGGCTCATTTTAAGCCAGGTAGATTTGTCTGGCTGATGATGCCGATGATAACTTGTTGTACCACATGTCAAGCCACAATGCATCAAATTGGCAATGGTCTAGCTTGCATTATTGCAAGCATTCGTTGTAGCGTATGTGCGGCGTAGTCCTGTTCAGGCTTCCTCCGCCCACAACATCTAATATGAAATCTATGATATGGCTGTGGCTCAAAAAATCGGTACCAGAATGGCCACCTTGGCGAATGGAACCAAAGACTAAAACCCGCGTAACCCTAGCTCCTTAATATGAGCATCCGGTTCAGTAGTCATACGATTTCAACTGCCTGGCAGCTATGTGGCTACGCCTAGATGCATCAACTGCTTCAAGCTCATGCAGTCTTGTCATGCATTATACTCAAGACATGGTTCTCACAAAGTTGTTGCGTGGTTTGTGCCATGTTTACCCACAGGTGCAAACAACTTGCAAGAACGCCAACACACATCTGACATCATCTGACCCTGTGGTTGGAAGTTAGGGCCGTGCTCTTGATGCTTCGTTTTCTAGCCTTCTCGAGGTTTTGAATGCCCGATGAGAAGGAGTAAATTGCACTAAATTACACCATGTCCCTAGTGTGCCATGAATTCCCCAACTGCAAAAGCAACAGATCCAAAATGCAGGCCGCATGGCGACCCCTTCTGTTGCCGAAACCTTGCATTCCTTTGAGTCCCATTCAGCACGGAACCGGGCAGTTACTTCAGTGCCCCACAAAAAACGTGAGGGTGGCCGGGCTGTGCTTGAGTGTCACAGAAAACGAGCATGTCGAAACCCCTGGGGCTATGGTTGCACTAAACCCGAATGGTTATTTCTGTATCCCAGTTTTGCAGGGACCAATCCATTCGTAATGGCTGGTGTGGGAGGGACGGTCATACACGTGACAACTCAGACCTGGATGCTCCTTGGTTCAACCTATTTCGACCTAAAATAATTTCTCGTTTTAGAGCCCCCCCCGAGCAGCCAAAAGCTCTCTAATATATATATATATATACATAGACTTTCTGCAGGGGTCGGTTGGGGGTGTTCGGATTACTCAAATAAGGTGACACGGTAACACCCTCATCAAAAAACGGGCGTGCGATGGTGTGATGAATCAACTGGGTGATGTTGGACTCAGATTAGAATGCCGCAGTCCTTCAAGAAGCGGTAGCATTCACATGCTTTGTGACCTCTTAGTTTTCTTGGACGCCACTCCCAAAAGATCCCCTACTAGGTCCTCCAGTAGAGAGGTTAGAATAAGGGTACCCTTTTTTCTGTAGCCTATTTTAGTAGGGGAACCCTCCCAAAAAAAGGGTAAACGGGCACTACTCGAATGCACGGACCAAGGGGGGCTACGAGAGCCTCTGATCCCAACCCTCCAAAAGCGCCCGAACCCTGGCCTGCACTGGCGGCACGGACCTCAGTGTGCAAGACACAAGCCTGGCAAACCTGGGTGCGACTTTGGGCAAAACTCATAGGGGACGGAAACCAAGGGGGAGGGAAACCAAAGGGACACCAAAACCCTGTATACTGCACTTCTTTGTGACAGGCGCGTTGGTTCAAGCCCAATAGGTGCACTTGCTGGGCGACTCCAGCTACCAAGGACTCATTTTTGGTCTTTCCATGGAAACCAAAGGGCAACCCACAAGTAGGGGAGGGAAACCTAAGGGGAGCTGTCACAAGTTACTTCAGGCGGGCGCAAGGGAATTGGGTCAATTTGGTCCCCGACTTCTCGCACGCCTTGCGGCATTCTGTTCCTGTTTCACTTCCGGGGGCAAGTTGCATGGAAACCAACGGGAAACCCAAACTCATAAGCCAAAGGGGAGGGAAACCGAAGGGACACCAAAACCCCAAAGGGGATGCACTTTGTGACAGGCGCGTTGGTTCAAGACCAATAGGTGCAATAGGTGCACTTGCTGGGCGGCTCCAGCTACCAAGGACAAAACACTTGACAGTTCAGAGTCTGTTGAGCAACGCACTTCAAGGCAAACACGAAAAGGAGCGCCCATCAAACGCGGAGCTCATAAAACTTACCCCCGACATAGGCATCCAGGCCAATCCATTCCAACCAATCTAGCAAGTAGAGACATTGCGAACATAAAACGCCTCGTGTTCAAGACTAGCGGCAAGCTCCAAAAACTGCACTTTGAAACGTGTCAATGTCGAGATGCGTCCAGATTGGATTATGCAGGAAGTCGTTCCGCAGGTTCTGCCAGCTGGACAACCCTGCACGCATTTTTTGGGCTCGGGTGGCCAACATTCGCATCGGCGAAGTTTTCGGCCCGCGCTGGGCCATGTAACAAGAGGCCTGCATCGGAAACCACGGCCCTGCGGATTCCCTTTCGGGCGCCGCATCGGAGCCTGGCCTCGGAGCCTTCGCACGGAACCTTGCTTGTAAATGGGGAATCTGGGAGTAAACCTTGTGGTCTCACGTTGAGCTTGGACTTCCCTGTTGCAGGTTCAATTTAAGAAACAAATGCAATAGTTTCCGAACCAATAAAGGGGGTCTCCGATCCTACCGAAGGCAGGCTGGTTAAGGCAATTACCGAACTCTCTATTGAGAATAAGCAAGGGGTGAGCATAGGTGACCTTTCAGAAAAAAATAGATGGCCGTGGTAGAAGAATACCAATCTACGCCAGTACCGTCTATGTCTAACCAAGCTGACCTGTAAAGGACACTTCTGGGGATGAAGCTTGGTGTCGACATTGGACACTCAGCGTGTGAAACGCATCCGGATGCGGGAGGTCCAAACACTTCGACATGGAAGCGGCAAAGCTCAAACTCAAACAGGGCTCCAAAGTACATTGCTGAAGAAGGAACCCGGCGCATCCCTGTCAACAAGTTGGCGGGACTGAATGGTACTCTAAGTGAAAAATTGGAACACCCTCTTGACAGCAAATGGTTAATTGTGGTGCTTTTTTGAACCAACTGAAAAGTCCCTCCCCTGGTTTGTGCAACACCCACGTGGCTTGCAATCAAAAGTCCAGCTACCGGAAACCTCCTGGCTTGGCTGGAATCAGGACCCCAGCAAAAAATATATATATATATATATATATATATATTTGCCTGGTTAGTGGAAAACAAAGGGAACCCCAAAAAAGCAAAAAAAGCAAAAAGGGGAGCTAATTCTGGGGAAGCTGGTAGAAAATGAAAAGGTCGGACGCCTGCATGGTGGTCAGGACTGT